CCTCTCGCCTCCTTCTCTTGCTGCTGCTGCTGCTGCTGCTGCCGCTCCTCCTCCCCTCCCCCCTGCTGGGACCCCGTTTGTCAGGCGCCCTTCGCCCCGCCCCTTCCCTCCCCTCCTCGCCCTTCCCCTTCCCCCGTCCCACCTCCGTCCCGAGTCCCATGTCTGCGAACGGCGACAAGCAGCCTGCCCGCGACCAGAGCCCCCCCCCGGGCGCTGGCGCCGCCCCCTCGGGCCCCCCTCCCTCGACCAGCCTCACCCCCCTGGACCTGACCACCCCCGGTCCCGGGTACCCTGACGTGGCGGAGCTCCTGTCATTGGACCTCACCACCGGCGGCTATCCCGACATGTCGGACCCGGCCTGGGCCAAGGCCAACCTGGCTCACCTGGCCGCCACCGTGCGCATGGAGGACGAGTCGACCGCGGCCGCGGCCGCCGACGACGACCTCCCCCTCTCCGCCGAGTCGGGTGTCGGGTTCGGCCCGGATGGTCGGATCTCCGAGGGCGGCACTTCCGACGCCACGGTGGCCGCCCTGTGCTCCATGGCCACCGGCATGGCCGAGGGTGGCAGCGTGGATGACGACGATGACGATGCCGACCGGGCCCCGGTCCGCGGCAAGTCCTCCTTCCTGAATGTGACCCTGGCCGATGTGGTCAACATGGAGGCCCGCGATGCCGAGGCCCTTGAGGAGGAGGGGGACCCCACCGATCGCCTGGATGATGGCGAGGAGGATGGCGACGATGAGGATGACGACGATGCCGAGCAGTTCCAGGCCGAGACCGCCCCGCTGCTCCGGCTGAACTCCCTCTCGAGCCCCACCCCGGACGTCCTGTCCAATGCCCGCCTGGCGGCGGTCTCCTCCTCGATGGCCCTCCAGCCGGACTTCAAGTGCGTCTTGGCCGGCTTCCCACCCGGGCCTGCTCGCCGCCCCTGTTCGCCGGTTTGGTTGCTGCCCGTGCCCGGGTGGCCGATCTCCCCTTGCCCGGCTTTGCGTGCTGTCTTCTAACGCCCGATCCCCGGCCTCCGGCCATGCACCCATCACACCCACCTGCCCACAGGTACCAGGAGGTCCGCAAGCTGGAGCAGGTATGTTCCCCGATGCATGGTCTCGCCCATCGACCACTGTCCCCCCTCCTCCTCCGAGGTCCGCCTGTTTTTTTTACTGACCATCTGTGTGATGTCCTTCCCTGCTCTCCCTCTCTCTCTCTCTCTCTCTCCCCCCCCCCTCTCTCTCTCTCCCTCTCTCTCCCTCTCCCTCTCTCTCCCTCTCTCTCTCTCTCTCTTCCTCTCTCTCTTTCCTTCCCGCCCCCTCCCCATCCCTCAGGCCTCCCTCAAGACCATTGCCCTCTCTTCCACTCGCCGGAAGAAGCTCCTTCAGCAGCAGAAGCTCAAGCTCCACCGCCGCGAGCAGGAGCAGCTCAAGCAGCAGCATCGCCAGGAGGTGGAGCAGCTTCTCCTGCAGCATCAGCAGGAGCTCATGCAGGGCGAGCTCCGTGGCTACCAGGAGCAGCTGAAGCAGCTGAAGCAGCAGCAAGAGCGCGAGCTGCAGGAGCTGCAGCAGCAGCAGCAGCAGCAGCAGGACGCGGCGCAGGCCGACGACCCGGCTCGCGGGAGCTCGGTCGAGCCGGCTTCCTCGCCGGCGGCTGGAGCCTCCTCGCCGGTCCTGAGTTCTGATGTGCCGGTCTCCTCGCCGGACAATGGGCCGCTGGCCGCGTCGCCGGTGTTGGCCTCGAGCGCGGCTCGGCCGCCCCCGCCGACGGTCTGCCCCACCGCGGCGGCCACCGCATATGCCTCGGCCGCTGCGTCCGGGCTGGTGGTGGACCTGGACCGCCAGCAGGCCCCGGCCCACATGTTCGGCCGGTCGGACTCCGAGCAGCCGGCCCTCTTCCAGCGTGCGGCCTTCAAGCTGGGCCTGATCAACCACCATGGGCAGCCGACCTTCGACCAGATCCGCATCGACCCGGTCAAGAGTGCGTGCCTGGCTCGCTGTGCATGCATGCGTGTATATGGGTGTCTGTGTATGCCCCCTCCAGCTCGCCGACTTGCTGTCTAACGTTCACTCATTTCCCCGCCGTCGCCGCACCCCCACACCCACACCCACGCGCGCGCGTGCACACACATATGTGTACACACGTCTACCTATGTGCACATTTGCCCGTCTGTCCCCCCCCCCCCCCCCTGCACTCGGGGCCGCATGTGTCCACCTCCAGACTCCATCTCCGCCGATGACCTCCCCCGGATTCGAGAGAAGCTCGGCCGGCTGAACCGCCTCCGCAAGAAGTACCAGACCATGTCCTTCCAGTACTTCCCCTCGCAGAACCCGATGAACCGGCGCCCGGCCCCGGTGAACAACGGCCAAACCCCCCCCTATGACCCCTTCAATGAGCCGCTGCTCCCCAGCGCGGCCGACCAGTACCACTACACCTACACGGATGGCATCTTCCGGGTGATGCGCACCGAAACCGGCGAGCCCTTGATCCCCGACCTGCCGGATGCCCAGCGCTTCTACAGCGATCTGGACGTTGTGCTGAAGGTGGCCTCCGATGGGCCGGTCAAGTCCTTCTGCTTCCGGCGGCTGGCCATCCTGGAGGCCTCCTTCAACCTGCACACCCTGCTGAATGACGCCAAGGAGAAGGCCAGCTGCAAGCTGGTCCCCCATCGGGACTTCTACAATGTGCGCAAGGTGGACACTCACGTGCACCTGACCTCCGGCATGAACCAGAAGCACCTGCTGCGCTTCATTCGCAACAAGCTCCGCTACCACAAGGATGAGGTGGTGCTCTTCCGCGATGGCCGGCATTACACCCTGGCCGAGGTGTTCCAGAGCCTCGGGGTGTCGGCATACGACCTGAGCATCGACACGCTGGATATGCACGTGCAGAGTGAGGCCTTCCACCGGTTTGACCGGTTCAATGCCAAGTACAACCCGGTGGGCGAGAGCCGCCTGCGGGAGATCTTCATGAAGACCGACAACTACATGAAGGGCCGCTACTTTGCCGAGCTGACCAAGCAGCTGATCAACGATCTGGAGGACAGCAAGTACCAATTCGCCGAGTACCGTGTGTCCATCTACGGCCGGTCCATCCACGAGTGGGACAACCTGGCTGCCTGGGTCATTGACAACCGGATCTTCTCGCCGAATGTCCGCTGGCTGATTCAGACCCCGCGTCTGTATGAGCTCTACCGCAAGGGCAACTCCATCGAGTCCTTCGATGACATCGTTCGCAACATCTTCCAGCCCCTCTTCGAGGTGACCATGGATCCCTCCTCGCACCCGAAGCTCTTCCTCTTCCTGCAGCAGGTGGTTGGCTTCGACAGTGTCGACGATGAGAGCAAGCTCTCCCGGGCGCACATGATCGACGTGCGCAACATCACCCCGGCCATGTGGAATGAGCCCATCGACCCGCCGTACTCCTACTACCTGTACTACACCTGGGTCAACATGACCTCGCTCAATGCCCTGCGGGCCGAGCGCGACATGAACACCTTCGTCCTGCGGCCGCACTGCGGCGAGGCCGGCATGGAGGCCCACTCCAACCTGGCCGTGTCCTTCCTCCTGTCGCAGTCCATTGCCCATGGGATTCTCCTGCGCAAGGTCCCCACTCTGCAGTACCTGTGCGTCTTTGGCCCGGTGTACCGCCCGCTGGCCGGCCCGGTGCCCCTGTCTTCCTCCGACTGTCCCGCCCTCTCCTGTCTTTTTTTTTTCTTTCTGTTTGCCCATCTTTCGCTCGTCTCCCTGCGCTTGATCTTGGCCGCCGACAGGCAGCGCCATCGTCCCGCGAGCTTGCCCCCGCCTAACCCCCGCGTTCTCCAATCTCC